CCAGCGTTGAGAGAGTGTCATGTGACCTTGAGCTCCCTGCGTCGCTCTGGCCAACCAAAAGGTCACACGATTTTCTCCCGACACTGGATCGGCTGGGATAGCTCGTGGCGTCCAGTGTGCTCGGACTGAAGGTGGAACGGCGTATACCATTGGACTGGAAGTTGGGGAAGGCCATTCCAGTCTTTAAAAGCGGTGATTGTGTGCTGGCCTCAAACTATCATCCCATATCATATGAAGAAGCCAATCATATTTTTTACAATCATCAATTCATGAATTTCGTAGGGGTTTTTCATGCGAGACGCAACTTTTTGAACTCAAACACAAGTTAATCACTAACCTTGACTCGCAGGGCCAAACCGATGCTGTATTCCTCGACTTCTCGAAGGCATTCGACAGAGTTCCCCATCGTCATCTAATTTCAAAACTTTCTATCCTGGGTATCGACCCTTTGGTCCTTTCTTGGATTCATGACTTTCTCTTTTCTCGCACTCTGGCTAACAACCATATGCCAGACTTTACTAACGTTATATCTGGAGTTCCACAGGAGGCATTACTAGGTCCACTACTGTTTCTTATTTTTATTAACGACTTATCAATTGTAGGCTTTGTCTCTTTGCTTACGATTGTGTCCTATATCGCAAAATTACTGTCTGATGACCATTTAAATCTTCCGAGTGATCTTGACCTGATTCATGCCTGGTATTTCAAATGACTTATGTCATTAAACATGTCAAAATGTAAAGTACTTCGCTTTACTTGGAAACATGTAACATCATGTTTTTCGTATTCCATTGGCTCTGGACTAATCATCTCTGCCTGCCTCCATCTATAAATATTTTGGTGCAACACTGCCTATTGACTTAACCTGGAATAACCACATTGAAACAGACTCAGCAGAGGCTTCGCACACTCTCGGGTACATCAAAAGAAATCTGAAGGTGCCACCATCTCATCTCCAGATAATGGCATACGAGACTTACGTTGGACCAAAGTTGTATCAATTCGGAATGCTCATCAAATTTATCCCATTAACCATCTTGAGTCAGTTCAAAATCGCACGGCCAGGTTGATTCTTAATGATCATTACCGAAGAACTAGTGTCTCTGCACTGAAACTCCAACTGTATAAGTCATGCCATAAGATATCATGCTTAACCCTGTTTCATAAAATTTTCTATTATAATCCAATGCTTCATAACTCACTGCTACTTCCTCCTAGAAGAGCATCGGCACAACTAAACCACCCCACGTCACAAATCTCGGATCACAAACTACTTCAAACAATCAGAGAGGGAGAGAGAATAAACTTTTATTCTGAGCATTTCAGCACGATGGTCTCTGCCGGATGGAAGGGCTTCCCTCTTCACGAGATCCTATATGCTTCCTTGTCTGCCTGGCCCCTATTGACCAATTGAAGCTGATTCTCCAGGGCGGGGCTGGACAGCAAGTTCTCCCATCGCTCTACAGGGGGAAGGGTGGGGGTAGTGGGTGGTCTTGATTGAATCTACACTCGCCTATTTTGTGACGGAGGGTTCCTATCTCGTGGCACACTGGGCAGTTCCCACTGTATTGAGTGGGGAACATATGCGACTGAGTAAAAGGGGGTGGGGGAAGGACCCCGACTGAATTTGCCTATACGCTACCTGTTCCTCCAGCGTTAGCTTAGGATGCGGGGCTGGCAGTCTTCGCCTATCCTTGCAGTAGAGTGCGACTAGTATTTCCTTTTAGGTCACCATGGGTTGGTCCTGTACCTCTTCCATGGCTGTGGCCCGGTAAGTCAGCGCGCAGGACTGCTGGTGAGCAAGTTTGTTGCCCTCTACCACGGAGTGGGCAGGTACCCATTCAAATTCTATGGGCTCCTTTGGGGGTCTTTTGTTTTTGAGCACCTGCAGCGCTTTTCAGGACACCAAGCCCGACTGGAAGCTCTGGTATGCTTGGTGCGAGTCGGTGATTACCCTGGTTCTGCCCGGCAATAGGTGACCCCGTCTTGTTCCACAATGCTTCGATTACTCTTTTAGCTAGTGTATTTATGTACCAGTTTTATTTCACACACACTTGTTCTCACTGTTTATATTACTCACCAGCACTGTAGGTGCCAGCCACCTGTCTGTTCATATGTTGATCTTTTGTATTTTTTATGTACTTCCCCCCCCCCCCCCCCCCGCTCCTTATGTAATGCCCCTGTTGGGACCTTTGAAGTTACAATAATAATAATAAAAAAAAAAAAACTGCCAGCAACATTGGAAGAATTTAGGAGCGGGGGCGGGGCCAACAAGTTTGAATTCCTGTGCCGACTCAACTTCACACGTAACTTGAGCACATTATATCACATTCCTACCCGATCTGATTGCCTGATTGGCATTCCTAATCAGTTTTGTTTTCATATGTTCAGTGACAATGCAAGCCAGTTTTAAATACTCTACTGTTATAATATTACTTTTCCGTACTTCTCACTGCAACATTTTCATGGCGAGCATACTGTTCTCCAGATTATGAGAGCCGCGCACAAGTAGCGAGCCTCAGTTTGGGCATCTAGGACGTAGTACGTAGCAGTTGTGCGTCTCGTACGCACTGCAAAATCTGCGTAAAACGATCCAAACTTCTTTCAGCAAGCGCTGTGACCCAAGGGGGTATCGGAGGTCGAGTGTGTTAGCGCACCGCAGCTCGTACAGCGAAAGGTCCCGCTGCCAGGGATCCCCACCCCCACCGCGTTTCGATCTGTTGTGAGGCACATACCCCAGGCTAGCAGTCGTACTGTAGTGGCTAAATTTTCTCATATACAGCCTGAAACGGTGTCGCCAGAACCTAGACAGGCCGATCGCACGCTATTTAAAATAGTGAGCGTCTTATTTTCTTCCGATGTGCCCAAAATGACGACAGTGCATGCGATTGAGACCAGCGGACAGGTGGGCTACCACTCTTGCCTTCGAATCGTTCGGGAGTCGGGCACCTGCATTTGCACCACGATCGAAGAAACAGAAAGAAGCGATGTCGAATCACATTCACACAGAATCACTCCAAGCTTCCTTGCTTGTGCCGTCAGCCGTATCAACGCTAATCAAAATTAACAACGCCTGCCGCGCGCGTTCCGCTGCTCATACAAACAACAACAAACAATCAGGGTATTTTGCTGCAGAAAGTTACTTCCGCCAGTTTTAGCGAAATGCGGAGCTCAACTGGCTCAACCCCTGCTGAACCGACGTTATTCAAGGTATTGAATTTGGCGTAAGGGTAGTGTGTTTGGGGTATCCGAAAAAGACTACGGTATTGACTATGGCGTACGCCGAAATGACTACGGTATTGATTTTGGCGTACGCCATAACCACTACCGTAGTCGAAGCAGAGGGGTAGTGAGATCAGCGTCCTACAGTGGCGCCCCCTATAGGTCGCTGGAGTCGCGGGGCGCGCTAGAGTATGCCAACCGGATGTGCTCCCAAGAAACTTCCGGTTTCTTCAGTTTCGTGCGCGTATTCGGAGTGCGGACGATGTTTTCGGCGTGTAAGTCATCTCCCTTGAACCGTGCACGACGTGGGCCTTGCTGCGTTGTACCAGGGTGCAGTCTGAGATCTGGAACGAACCTTCTTTCGCAAGTGCGAACATTTAGGTTCTCCACAGAAACCGAGAGAAGGAAAGCCTGGATCGCTGCGGTACGACGGGACAATTGGCTGCCTATTAAGAGCTCACAGATTTGTTCTGCCCACTTCGTTCAAGGCAAGTATTTAATTTAGATTTTATCATCCCCTGCCACGGGTTCGGTGTCTTGAACGTTAGCGTTGCGAAACATTTCGCACGCAAACAAGCGTCCCGTAACATCGCCCGAGATGCTCGGGAGTGCAATCGTGAGTCAGCCGGCTTAGCCGCGTTTAATGGACCCTGACTAATTTCGAAGGCTAAAGGGGTGTCCAAACAGGACACTACAAAACGCACGACTCCGACAAATCGTGAAAATTGAAGCGGGCGCGAAGCGGGCGCGTCCGCTTCAATTTTCACGATTTGTCGGAGTCTTGCGTTTTGTAGTGTCCTGTTTGGACACCCCTTAAGACTGCTGCTTGATGGCTCAAGAAGTTACTATCGCGGACTATGCCAGATTATGGGGACGTATTCGTTGTCTTTAGATGGTCGAGGCCGCGTCAGGAGCCATCGGGCACTTATGGTGCGCTGAAAAATCATCCGTTCGTGTATCCGACTCCGTTTCCAGGTGGTTTTCGATAGTAGCTAAAGCTAGGGACGAGTGCATCTCGGATTTCGCCTGTGCGTTCGCTAGAGGATAAGCGCTTAGACCGAAAGCGCTGACAAGCTGGGCGACGCACTTCCCCCTGATGCAGCTGCTGTCCAAAAGAACCTCGATCGGAGCCTAGTTTGAGGTTGTGTTATGTGGCTTCGTGTGCAACATTGCACTGCTCCTGTTTGGGAAAACTAAAGCATACGTAGGAAAGCAGCTAGGCCACCGCATTTTAAATTACACACGTAAAAATTTCCTCACGTGCGTGTGTCCATGACACAAAAAACAGTAAAAAATTGGCATAAAACGCAAGGGTGTGTCACTTTCTACCGTAACTTTTTTTTTTAAGTAACATGAATTTGTGTCATAAATTACTCCTTTGCCCTTGTTCAATGAAGGAAATTCTATCAACATGTTCTCAGCGGTTTCCCCTCCCCACAATTTGTTTATTGTACAACTCTTCTGCAGAGTTAATATACAACTGTTACTGTTTCCACTGCACGCTTGCGTGTATTTTGTAATGTCTGTACATTTATGTCTTTCAGGCAGGCCATCTTCTGATGCAAGTCATCCTGACTATGTCCCTACACTGATCCCTTATCGTGTTCGAGGGAACCTCGTGCAGAAGATCGCATGGTACCAGCGTGCTAAGAACAAGCATGCGCCAAGTGGCCCCCCTGCAGTGGACCCTGGCCCTCCAACAGTCACCATTGAGAGTGTTGGCCACGAGGACAATGTTCAAAAGGCCTGTGACGCAATGACAGAAACAACACTTACTCTACAGGACATCTCAAACCAGATTTTGGAGAACAAATCATTAAAAGAGCGCATCATTTGTATGGAACAGGACTTGGCAGTCGCTAAAAAGAAGATTGCTGAGCTTGAGGAGGAAAAGAAGCCACCCAACCTTCCGGAAGTTACCAAAAGCACAGTCATGCAGTCTGACAAGACTGTGAAATTTTACACGGGGCTAGTGTCTACAGCCATGTTTAATGCCTTGCTGCAGTTTGTGCTGTCCATCTGGAATCCACTACACAGGACATGCCTAGATCCAGAGCAGCAACTGATCCTAGTGCTCATGCGACTGCGACTAGGTCTTCTGACACAAGACCTGGCATGTCGATTTGGCATCTCAGCATGCACTGTAAGTGTAATTTTCCACACGTGGCTCGACGTTTTGGCAGAGAATCTCAAGAAGTTCATCATCTGGCCATCTCGACGGTCGATTCAAACCCATCGTCCTCGAGCATTTCGAAACCCATTATTTGACCATGTCAGGGGAATAATTGACTGCACGGAAGTATTTATCCAGAGACCAGCTGTAATGAAGGCCAGAAGCCAAACTTTTTCCAGCTACAAACACCACAATACCATCAAGCTGCTTGTTGTGGTATCCCCGTCAGGAGCAATCACGTTTGTTTCGAAAGCCTGGGGGGGGGGGGGGGGGGGGGGGGGCAGGGTTTCCGACAAGGAGCTAACCTTACACAGTGGACTACTTGACATGGTTGAAGAGGGAGATGTCTATCTTGTTGACAGAGGGTTCCGCTGTGAAGACATGTTTGCAGCTCGAGGCGCAACCCTTTTGATGCCCCCACTAACAAAGAAGCGCACCCAACTACCTGGAGCTGAAGTCACTGCGTCAAGGAAACTCTCCAGCGTCCGCATCCATGTTGAGAGAGCAATACGAAAGCTGAAAGTTTTTAGATTATTCCAGACTGAGCTGCCGGTAAGTTTCATGAAAAGAGCCGGCGATGAGGGCTACGTGACCATTGACAAGATAGCAGCGGTGTGCGGCGGGCTTGTCAAACTGCAAACTCCTCTCATCAACAGCCGCTAGGAAAGCTCGTGAGAACAGCTGGCAATGAAGGCTATGCAACCATGGACAAGTCAGCAGTTGTGTGTGGTGAACTTGTCAACCTGCAAACTCCTATCATCAACAGCCGCCAGGAAAGCTTGCGAGAACAGCCGGCGTTGAAGGCTATGCAGCCATGGACAAATTAGCGGCTGCGTGTGCTGAGCATGTCAACCTGCCAACTCCTATCAACAGTCACAAGGGCTTGGCTGTGCATCACTAAATGTTTTCATTGCAAAGGAAGCAACACATGGTGAAGGTGAAGTCAGTGTGCCTTATAATAATTTCTTGAGTGCTAGACTGCGTTGATCGGTAAATACAAGCATTTTTATTAAGCTTACTTTTGGTTGCTGGGTGCATAATTTTCTTGACTACTAATTACATGTGACAAATTAAAGTGCAAAGTGAAACACAGACGAGATAAGACACACGTACGACAAGGGCAGGCCTGCGCCTGTCCATGTCGTACGTGTGTCTTATTTTGTACATGCTTTAGTTTGCACTTTAACCTTTTAAATTACATAAACTAGACCAAACAAAGTTTTTTTGCGACAGATAAAACCTGAACTCAAGCTGCCCCCTTGACAGGCTTTGGCTTTTTTTTATAATTTAAGTCCCTTATGATCATAATATTATAAAATATTCACTGGTATGTACGTATGTATTGTACATGCTTGTTCGTCGAATTGTTCAGAACTTTTTGTATGTGTATAGTACATTCGGGGCACTTTTGAGCTGTAAAAATAACTTATAAACATACTTGACTAGTAACATCAAAGCCAGACAGCAAAAAGATATTCTTAAAATTTTTAATTGCATACAGCACAAAAAAGAAAAAAGTCCGAACAAGTTGTGTTGACATTTAGTTGTCGCTGCAGTATGGCCGACAGTTTGGCATGCAGTGCACACCCATGATCTTGGTGTGCGTTTAAGGTTTACACACTTCAGATGGAAATTGTCACAACAAAGTTAACATTCAAGGCTATGCAGCCTAATTAATTGCAGCAACACCAAGAAAAAAAAAAGTCCGAACAAGTTGTGCTGACATTCAGTTGTCGCCAGTACGGCTGACAGTTTGGCATGCAGTGCACACCCATGATTTTGGTGTGCGTTTAAGGTTTACACACTTCAGATGGAAAATGTCGCAACAAAGTGAACATTCAACAACACGGCCCGACCTAGCGCCATGGCAATGGCATGTTGTCCTCGCACATTCCATTTGCTTGAAGATTCGCATGGACTGCAGTTCTGGAAAGATGTGGTTAATAAAAAAGCACTCTGCTTTAAGTTTTGCAGCTGCCCAGAAATTCTCATCAAAGGTTATAACCTCAATATTTATGAGAGGTCCCGTAAAAACAGCAAAGTATGCTCGACGGAGCTTCGTGGCCGCCATTTGTGCTTGTACTTGGGCATAATAAGCATGATCGTGCCTCAGCTGCAGGTTCTCATCGAGATAAGGTAAACGCTTAGACATTTTAGTGAGGGAAGCACCTTTCATTGATGCAGCACACTTGACCTCCAGGACTGCCTTTTCGCAGCATGCGCAAGAGACAATGGCATCGGGAGATGCAGCTAGAAAGGGCAGGCTTCCTACAACAAACAAACCACACTCATTTAGTTGCAGGTCTTTATGTTTCAGGGACTCCTTTGCAATAAATGCTCGTTTAGCTTCTGGTTCCTTTTCGGAGCCCCAACGGAGGTTTGAAACACGAGGTGCCTTTATATACCCCATAACCTCCGCAACAAGGCCATCGGCACCGCTCTGGCATGTAGCCACACGACCCAAGACAGACGCTGTTATTCTGCCCTTCCGTTCTTGCTTCCATCTGAGGGATCTTGATTGCCCGCGAGTGGCTTTCTCAATCTCAGTACAATGTGCAGCTGTTAGCCGAACTTCCTGGGCTGCTTTTAGGTCCATGTTTTGGTAAATACCACCAAGCGGCAACTGTGAGGGCGTCTCCTTGCGCTTGGCCGGTCTCTCTGGTTCTTGGTCAGCTGCTTCAGGAGCGGAGTCAGTTTCCTCGCTGTCCGTGATCGAGCACAGCAGAAGCGTTTTTGGGGCTAATGCCTATAAGAACAAAAACCGGATTAAAGTGTACATTGGTTGGTGACAATGTGTAATGCAAACATCACTGGCCAACCCTCGACCTGGGAGTTGAACCCGAATTTTTAGTGTAGTCATGCACAGTTACCCAGTCAGGATATTTCGGATGGCTAGGCACAAGACACTGGACTTATGAACTGAAAATAATTTATTTCGATTGTCTCACCTTTATTCGGTGCATGAAGCCGCGAACTTGTTCGTCTGTCCATATCGGTACAGGTCCCCGTGGTCTCGGAGCAACTTGAATCACAGCCTGTCCTACCTTACACACTAAACATTATAACACCCATAATCGTGTAAAAAGGGTGTAAGTTAGGAAAAACACCCTTCTTACACTTCATTTACACGATATTTGAATATCGGTGGGTGTAAAAAGGGTGTGCTGATGTTTTTCATCCCTTCCACACCCTTTTTACGACCTCGCTTATTGCGATGGCGTCTGAAATCGTGTAAAAAGGGTGTATGGGCGAATTATACGCCCTGTGTTAACACAGTGTGAAAGGGGCGTTATGGTGATGCCAGTCTAATACACCCATGATTTCATATCCGTTAACGCTTATTGCTTTGCTGAAACTGTTGCTGATGTACGGCGGTATAAACATCAGTATAATTAATCGCTACACGAAGTCGCGTATGGTTAGGAAGTGATGGAGTATAGTTTTTGCGACTCCGATCGAACTCACCGTCCGACACGAGCCGAAAATGACGTGTCGCGTGTGCGTCAGTTTCATCAGTTCAACTTCGATTTAAAAACAAGACATCTCCTCTCGCAAAAGATGAACGAAGACGTGTCAATATACAACCCAAACAGCACGCAGCATTGCGCCGATATAGGATCAAATATGAAAAATTGCGCCGTTACCATTTTGGTCCAGCCAATATCTGTGAAAAAAAGGATGGGTCGCGGCGACGCCATCCTGACATACCGTAGGCGATGCCGTTTTTGGTTGAGCGTCAAGATTCCCGCATGAATGGCCTATGCCGGCGAGGTATGTCTATTTCTTAACCGCCTAAAATCCGACGTTAAAAAAGAAAAGAAAAACAAGACGAAGCGAAACGGAATCTGCTTACTTTTAACCAGAGAAAGACCTCCTGCGCTGAACCACTGAACAAACTATGGGCCGTGGCGCCCTCATTTCGTGTATTACAAACTCACCTGACTGGCCCTCGCACTACTTATAGCACCTTCACTGAGATTTTATTTTTGTGTGTAGTTCTGACGAAACAATTCCGCAAGACAATCGAAAGTGCCGAATTTATGACACCCCGGCTAGAGTACGCGATCCTTAGTTGACACCAAAATATCTAGCCTCCCGACGCTATTTTTTTCGTTTTTTTTTTTCTTTTTTCGTACGGGTGAAATTGCATCTCTTTCATGCGTTCGAATTTGTTTTCTGTTATTTATTCCGTGATTTCGCGGTCGGCATCAGAGCACGCACGCCACTGCGTGAAGCAAGTCCTGACGTGTCCCATTTTGCGACCCTCCTTGGGCAGCCCAGGTGGCTTATACAAAGCCGCAGAGGGAGATTAGCTGCTTTGTCCACCCCTCTTTGACTTCGTCTTCTGATAAGCCTCCACACCTTCTTTTGTGTCTTCGTGTGGGTGTGAGCGAGTGCGAAGGCCGCTTCTAGCAAATCAGAGGGGTGGTGTGTAACACGTGACCGTTCTCCGTAGGACAGGGACGCTTGGACTATAATATGTCACGTGACTCGCTCCGACGCGCTGATGGGCTCACTGGGGCCGAAGTCTTTGCCGTATTCCAAATTACGGTGAGTGTAGGGGCCACGTACGTCCGGTTTCTAAAAAGCTTCCGTCAGGCGTCAGTGTTCTCCTGTTTTTCGTGCGTTGCAGTCGCAGCTGTGGTTTTTCGTCTTGAACGGCCGGAATACGTTCATACTAATTTTTTGGTAATATTTGTGAATTTCGTCGGAGTCCGTGGAATTATTGTGCTGTGTTTGTTGGACGCGTTTCGACAAAGAACTGCTCGTCGGCGCTCGTGAGACTTCCGCTGATTGTGATCGACCGCCTTCATCCTCGACATTGTGTTTGCGTAGTTTGGTGCTGCCCTAGTCGGATTGTGCATCTATCACGACAGAGAGCTGCTCATCGGCGACGGCGAGAGTTCCGTTGAATGTGAGCAACCGCCTTCATCCTGGACGTTGTGTTTGCGAATTTTTCTGTGGTGCCCGAACCGGATTATGCAACTATCACGAATTACATGAGATCGGTGTTTTATTTGTAAGTACTCTGCAAGCATGCTTCTGGTAGTAGTCCTGCTTCCGTCTCAATAGACCATCTTACTGTTTACAAGCATGAACTGCTGCTTACGCCTCAATCAACTCCGGTCGTTCCGTCTCTGCCAGCCTGTCGAGTTTTGCCTACGTCAGCAGAGCTAGAAAGCTTTAAAGTAGGTTTAGGCGAAGGAAAGCCTTATTTAAAGTTTGAGTGCATTTATTTTCAGCCTCTAAGAATTTTGTAGCTTTGTCACAAAAACTTAACACTAGGTCACAAATGCCAGCATTTGAGGTTTGACATTGGTTTCTCGCGAATTCGCGAAAGAAGAAGATGAGGTCCATGCACGTTTTTTCTGGATTCAAAAAATAAAGTGTTCCACATGTTCCAATTTGTTAGCAATCATTTCTCCGTAAATACTTTTTGATGAAGTGCTGTGTTAACATTTAGTATAACTTCTTGTAGCTGAATGAAGTGAGAGTTACTGCGCAGGCGAGCTGGTGAAGGATCATGGTGAAAAAAACCCAAGACTAGGACAAAAAATCGGGACAACACAACACGTCTCAAGACATTTTGAGACAGTATTGTGTTTTCCCAATTTTTTTGTCACTAGTGTCGGGGTTTACCCACCATGCTCTTCTAGCTGCAGTACACGTTTTTGGTAGGGTGTACTGCTGCCATCACACCCTAATAAATAGGTGTAGAGCAGAATCACTCCTTTCTGTGTAGGGTGTAAGGGATTACACCGGTTTTTGAGGGAGTGAGCAATAACACCATTTTTCTAGGGCGTTTTTGTACACCAATAAGGGGGTGAGTTGTGACCCATGCCATTTACACCAATAAGGGCGTGAAAATGTTTAGTGTGTAGGCTTGAAGAATATGATGTC